GCTGGTATCGCTCTCCAACACCGCTACATACATACATATATACATAAAAATAATAACTTGCCACTCGTATTCGAAGATATCCGTTTATTAGGACGGCTTGCCAATTTCTATTGCAGACGCTCTGTCACACATCCACAGAGCCAATCTGTACTTTATACTACAACTATACTGAGCAGACCATAGTTGTAGTTTCTGGGCGAGAGAGCTTGCTATCTATCGTGTTCAACGCCAGAACACTCAAACTCTCGACCACGATGACTTGTGATTTCGTGCTAGCACAGCTATCGATGGCCCCAAGAGTTCCACTACTCAATTTAATTCACAATGTATACATACATACATACATGGAAAGAGTGTGGACATAGAAATCAATACCACATGGTGATTGGCAATTTCACATCTAAAACAGTCATGGTTTGATGATCATTTTAGGCTTGTAGATAGCAAATACCCACGTTGTTGTATGCTTTACTTGCATCTATGATACTGTAGACTTTTAAAAGTGTATATGTTACATAGATTTTATCGGTCCGATAAACACTTTCCGTTTACATCTGATCACTGTTACGTTTTACTTGTTTATTTAATAATAATACCCTTTGTCTGGCAACTGATGGCGTAAGTTATAAAATTTCGTCAAGACTTTTACTAACAAAGAAAAACGAACCAACTTTACTTAATCCATCAATTGAATTTCTTTCATTTACTGCTGTCAATGAGAATTTCAGCGTGAATCTTTGGCCACTGAGGTTTTATATACTGAATAATAATACTTTAATCTATATTCTCCTGGTTAAGTTTAAACTGATACATTCGTTTTTCCCTTTAAATGTAATTATGAAGTGCATCAATATTTTACAATATTTACATTATTCGGACTATTGTCCTCATCTTTGTCGCCATATTTATTACAGCGTTTCGGCCCTTCAGTATCTGTCAATATTTCTGAGATGAGGTATTATGTACACTATTTACATTATTCGGACTATTGCCCTCATCTTTGTCGCCATATTTATTACAACGTTTCGGCCTTTCAGTATCTGTCTATATTTCTGAGATGAGGTATTATGTACACTATTTACATTATTCGGACTATTGTCCTCATCTTTGTCACCATATTTATTACAACGTTTCGGCCCTTCAGTATCTGTCTATATTTCTGAGATGAGGTATTATGTACACTATTTACATTATTCGGACTATTGTCATCATCTTTGTCGCCATATTTAAAATATTTTTTATTTGTATTATATATATATATATATATATATATATATATATAAATACTACTTACATTATTCCGACTATTGTCCTTATATTTGTCACCATATTTATTACAACGTTTAGGCCTTTCAGTATCTGTCTATATTTCTGGGATGAGGTATTATGTACATTATTTACATTATTCAGACTATTGTCCTTATCTTTGTCGCCATATTTATTACAACGTTATACACACCGGCCTTCTTCATCTGAAGGCGTACAACGACCGAAACGTTGTAATAAATATGGCGACAAAGATGATGACAGCAGTCCGAATAATATAGATAGGTAGATTATACCTCATCTCAGACAAATACTAAAGGGTCGAAACGTTGTAATAAATACGGCTACAATATATGAAAAAACAATATGGCTACAATATATGAAAAAACAATATAGCTACAATACATGAGAAAAACAATATGGCTACAGTATATGAAAAAACAATATGGCTACAATATATGAAAAAACAATATAGCTACAATATATGAAAAAAATAATGGAGCTACAATATATGAAAAACAATATGGCTACAATATATGAAAAACAATATAGCTACAATATATGAAAAACAATATAGCTACAATATATGAGAAAAACAATATGGCTACAATATGTGAAAAAAAACAATATGGCTACAATATATGAAAAAACAATATAGCTACAATATATGAGAAAAACAATAGAGCTACAATATATGAAAAAAACCATATAGCTACAATATATGAAAATACAATATGGCTACAATATATGAAAAAACAATATAGTTACAATATATGAGAAAAACAATAAAGCTACAATATATGAAAAAAAACAATATGGCTACAATATATGAAAAAACAATATAGCTACAATATATGAGAAAAACAATATGGCTACAATATATGAAAAACAATATGGCTACAATATATGAAAAAACAATATGGCTACAATATATGAGAAAAACAATATAGCTACACTATATGAAAAAATAATATAGCTACAATATATGAAAAAACAATATGGCTACAATATATGAAAAAATAGAAAGGTGGGATTCAAACAGGCTCCCTTAGGACATGGGCTAATTATTGTCGTCGTCGAACAGTTTGGCTCATCTATATTTTTCTCTTAACCTGCATGTTTCAAAGCTACAACAAACCGAAATATTTTACTTTAATTATTTTTCATTCATTATTAAAATTATATTAGTGATCTAAAAAAAATGTCTATAGATAAGATATCTATCGTCTTTTTT